CTCCTATCTTGAGTGTGTAGCACAGCTTTACATAATTTTTACATTTGTATGTACTGAATGCTATCTGCTCACGACCATGGCTTATGACCGGTGTCTGGCCATCCTCAGACCACTGCTCTATGGAAACATCATGAGCCAGAACTATTGTTCTTCATTGGTGATCACTGCCTGGGTAGGTGGGGCCATCTACTCAGCCTTCCGCACTTCCAACACCTTCTCCCTCCCCTACTGTGGGCCCAATGTCATTGAGCACTTCTTCTGTGACATCCCTCCAGTCATGAGACTCTCCTGCACTGATTACCATGTCAATGAGGAGGTGGGCTTTGTGGTGAGCATCTGCACTGTCATGAGCTCCTTAGTCCTCACGGTGGTCTCCTATATTGGCATTGTGGCCACAGTTCTTCGTATCCCCTCAGTGGATGGCAGGTGGAAAGCCTTTTCTACCTGCTCCTCTCACCTGACCACGGTCATCTTGTTTTATGGAACTGGAAGCTTTGTGTACCTGAGGCCTGCCTCTCAGTACTCGCCGACCCTGGGTCGCCTGGCATCTATTTTCTACTCTGTAGTCACACCGTCTTTGAACCCAGTTGTCTATTGCCTGAGGAACAAAGATATGAAGTTTGCTCTACAGAAACTTTATTGTGGGAAGAAGTACTGAGTCCTAGAAGACTACAGTGTGTGGCTCTTAGGGTCTGATAACTATTGATGGAGTCAGGCAATTTATCCCCTCAAATTTTCTTTCCCTTCCTATGTCACTTAACATTGTTGATAAAAACAGAGGACCTGTAGGAGCCTCCCGAGTTCCTGCACTAGATACATGTAGGCAAAACACTCATACATATAAAAAATAAAAACCAAAAGCAAACAAATTCTCCACCTAATATCATTGTGGAATTCTTTTTTCCGAGCAGTACTCATTACAGGAGACAGGACTCTCAGGATTTTCCTATCACCCTTGTGTAAAGGCCACTAATATGAATTTCCATTATTTTGTAAAACCTCATTTTCCTGGACTGGTACAGGTGTATCCCCTGGAAGTGCCAAGAGTCCTGAAGCCAGCACAGCGGCCGGACACAGCTCCGTCAAAGCTGAATGCATTGCTACACTCGCTGTCCTTCTATATCCAACTTTTGGGTTTTGGTCTCTGTGTGTTGCATTCTTGGGGACTTTCTGCATTATGATTCGATTTATGTCTTTTCCTGCGAAAGATTGTGTCTGAGTCTTTTTAGGAAAATCCTAAAATTAACTCTATCTGGCCACTATTTGGAAGTCCTCCTTATGCTCTGGAGATCATTCAGCACAGATAAGCACATCCCTAGATGAACCATTACTCCAGGAATCTCCTTAGGGTAGCAGTCCCTGAGCAAACTCAAAAGTGTAATTGGTACAGGGTAAACAGACACAATTGACAAACTCTGACTGGCCAGGAGAATCGGTTACAGATTCAAGGTCTCTTCTTATTATAGGCTTAGAGTTCTCTGAAAATGTAGTTTAAAGAAAGGGGGTCATACAGGATATACTTCTGGAGATATAAAACTCAGTAAATAAGTTAGATTGACTAAAATAACCTTTTCCTACTTTATAGCATAGATGATGAAATATACAGTAAGTGGAGTTAGGTGTTAGTGTTTGCTATTTGTAAGAAGACCAGTTCAGGTATTTTTTGTTTGTCTGGAGTTCTTTAAAACTACAAACATTGCCAGCCTAAAAGCAGGCTGTCACATAATGTATGCATTTGCTTTGGCGGAGACAGTCTTTAGGTTCTTTAAATTGGAGTTATAGGGCTGATAATAAAAACAAAATCTGTTCTGTTTGTGTTTTAACTTAACTTGTAACCCTGGACATGTAATGGAGACAATCAATGACATAGTCTGTAGCACCTGGATCACCACTAGTCTTTGATCTGTGACACCTGTAAAAATAAAGCACCTGGTTGCTAGTCAGTCAGAGCTGGAGATTCCCCTGAACCCCATGGCCTGACTCACTCCCCTCTCCCCTCACCGACTCCTTATCACCTCTGCAGGCTGGCTGCCCTGTAAGCTAGGACCCCCGGTGGGGAAGGCCCCTGGCACTGGATATCCCATAAGCAACACATTTTATCATTCAAACTGTTCCTTGGATGTCAGATTGTTCTGCTAGTGCAGACACTTGAACCAACCTCTGATTTTGTTCCAAGCTGATGAACTTTAAACATTCACTTCCTTAACTTTTATCTAAATAGCAATCTTCATTCCCATGCTCTAAACATCTCTTTAATTGCCATCTCTTCTTAGTCTAGGATTCCTTCCTCCAGCCCTGTATGGAGGGTCCCAGATGTTAGGCTAATAGTTTAGGCTGAAGGACACTGCATGGACAGAGTGCAAGTGGAATCTTATAAATTATCCTCAAACAAACCATGTGGCTCCGAAGGCATGGCTTATTTCTTCTTACTTTCAGGAAGTCAGTGAAGACTCCAAGAGGCTAATTTTAGCCTTGCTTGGGACACAGGGGCCAGGTGTGGGTCACATTGACAAGTCAAAAAGTATTGATCTACTTAAACCAGTGTGATACACTCATCTGAATGTTTTAAGGGACTATATAATGATGAAAGCAAACAAACTACAGACACCCAGTCAGACACAAAGCACCAAACACATACCTACCTTTACTGTGCTGGAGACTGGGAATGGAGAGAGAGAGAGAGAGAAAGAGAGAAAGAGGGAGGGAGGGAGGGAGGGAGGGAGGGAGGGAGGGAGGGAGGGAGGAAGGAAGGAAGGAAGGAAGGAAGGAAGGAAGGAAGGAAAGGGAAAATAAGTAGGGAATAGAATTATTTGAAGGCCAAGATAATGAATTTAGGATGAATTAAGTACTAAACTGTAAGAATTAAGGTAACTTTTGCCCCCGAGATATGTAGTGCAAGTGTACTATTATATATTATATACCTGTACTCACCCATTTATGACATAGTTAGTCTTGTTTTATATCTACCCAATCAATTGGATGATCAGGTAGAAATAACCACATAGAACAGGAGCCAGCAGAAGCCTTCATTTCTTCATAAAATTGTCATCACAGTTCTATGAGTCAAAGACCAAACAATTCAGCCAGAATGTGACATTAGAAACAAAATATAAGCACCCAAATAAAAACCAGGAAAAAGATAAAAGATCTCAATCAAAATGGAAAATAAAATAGTGATTTTGTTGGATAATAATTCCTGCAGAAAACATGTTAACACTAGGGTAACATATCTAAATATAAGAAGAGAAACAAAGGCAAATATTTAGGGGGATTTCATTTTTAAATTGAAATGTCAATCATCCTCTTCTAACAAAATCATATACATTAAATAACATCACAGTCTTTCAATGGGGATAAGTATTTCTAACATGGACAGCAAAAAGAATCAGCTATATTTCATACTGAAAATGCATTAAGTGGACTTCCGGTTTGGGACCGAGCCTAGAGCAGGTCGCAGGCAGCAGCTCCGTACCCAACCGCAGAAAACCAAGAAAAACAGGGACTCCCAGGAGCTTGAACTCACGCAGCATCCCAGGTAAAATTGAATCACCCGTGATGCCTGCTATTAGAAGTTCTAACCCAGATGGACCAGAAGCCAGGAGCCTTGCCCTTACCCTCACCCCCTACCTTTTCCCACCTGCACAAGGTCCCCTGAAGCTGGGCAACTGCAAGATCCTGCTTGGCAACTGCAGATAGACTCAAAGCAGTGTACCATATCATCTGAAGAATAGCAGGGAGACCATAACTCAAGCAGTGTACCATATCTTCTGAAGAATAGCAGGTTGCAGTCCTCCTCGCCCCCACGAATAACCAGGACCCGCCGGTCGGGCCAAGTGGCACCCAGACGTGGGTGGGGCTCGAGGCACGGACCCATCCGGACGGACCCTCATTGAGAGGATGTGCGCACAACATCAAGATTGAGCGAGACAGAGATCGTCGCCCGTGACCTGTCGTCCACGGAACCAGGTTGATGCTGCCATCAAGAAGGCAGTTGAAGTTCATTACCATCAGCTGAAAATTGCAGAGGATCCAGAAGTGACTCCGCAGGAGACTGACACAGCTGTCAGCTCCCCTGCCTCCCTCTATGGTCGACCCCTAGACTTCCACGCCCTCCAGAAGGGTTCCTGGTATGCCTGGCTTTGCCCTCATTTCTCTCGCTAGAGAGCTTGGCCTCTTGATCACCACAACAAAAATTGGCTTTTTCCTAAACCAAGGCCACCCTTGATATGGCCGCTAACATTGGGGAGCCTTCCTTTATGACAATATTACACCCCAAACTGACAAATGGTTGGTAACTTGAACATTTACAAGAGACTAGGATGGCTGTGAGTTAGCCCAATGACGGGATTATTGTAGGTCCACTTCCCAGGGGCCCACCCAATGCAGCCGAAAAGGAGTGCGTGGTGCTGGGAGTGGGTGCAGCCTACATGGCCTAAGACAGGGCTCTCACCCTCCTTTCACCCACATCAGAGTCCCTTGACGTTGCCCATCGTCGACAGCCTAAAGCCTTCGACCATCGATGTGACTTGTCTCACATCAGTGTTTTGGGGTTGTGAACTTGTCTAAGACCCCCCCATAATTAGACATCCAAATTCAAAACTCACATAGTTGGGATTGAACATAAGAAGCCTTCTCTAACTAAACAGAGAAGGGGGAGATGCCAGAAGCCAGGACCCTCGCCCTTACCCTTACCCCCTACCTTTCCCCACCTGCACAATGTCCTCTGAAGCTTGGCAGCTGCAAGATCCTGCTTAGCAACTGCAGATAGACTCAAAGCAGAGTACCATGTCTTCTTAAGAATAGCAGGGAGACCATAACTCAAGCAGTGTACCATATCTTCTGAAGAACTGCAGGTAGATCATAATTCAAGGCAGTGTACCATATAGACCATGACATGTTTCAAGGCACAGGCCAAGAAGATTTTGTACTTTTCCACCACCTGGACCCTCTTACCCCCTCCCCTTGTAAAACATGCTATAAAAAAGCATTTCATGTTCAAAAAAAAAAAAGAAATTAAAAAAAAATGCCAAGGTATAAGACAAAAAAAAATGCATTAAGTGGACCTGCATATATTGTTTTGTCATTTAGAAACAAAGCAGTATTTATCTTAATGAGCTATCAACATTTCTCCTTATGGCAAGGTCTTAGTTTATAATATGATATAAAAGCAAATAACCATACTTAAATTTCATATTTCAATTCATAAATATTAAAATTTAAATAATATTTAAAGAATATTACATCAAAATAGAAAAAACTTCATTAACTAAGGACTGCATTTGTAGAGTTGAAACTGATTACCAAGCCAAAGGCAGACTCAAGAAAGTCAAGCTCTAACTAAGCAAGTGAAAATTGGATTTGTAAGCTGAACAGAGTTTTGAAAATATTGTTGAGAATTAATCTAAAAAAAGTCACTGTGTATACATAAGAGTACTAATAAATGTTACCTGAGAAACCATATCATGATTTTGTAGAAAAATCTCTGAGCATGAAAGCTAATTTGGCAGTACACCTGAAAGCCATACAACACAAGGAAGCAAATATACACAAGAGGAGAAGATGGCAAAAAATAATCAAACTCAGGGCTGAAATAAACCAAGTAGAAACAAAGAGAAATATACAAAGAATCAACAAAACCAGGAGCAGATTCTTTGAGGA